ACTACGGTGTACCCCAAATATTCATCAACCTCATTCAACAGCTTTACGACAAAACCACATGTCAAGTGATCCACAACGGAAAACTCAGCGAGGTGTTTGGAGTAAGCACAGGAGTCAGAAAAGGGTGCTTATTATCAACAATGATATTTCTAATCGTGGTGGAATGGACTGGATTATGCGTCAGACAGTAAGAAACGATAAGACAGGGATATCCTGGACCGACGTGAAAAATCTAGAAGACCTGGATATCGCGTGTGGATGATTTATGTTTGATGTCACACAAAATCGAAGACTTACAAGCGAAAACCGACAAACTGGTCGTAGAAGCAGCCAGAGAAGACAGGACTCCAGGTGAACATAGACAAGACGGAAGTTATGAAAATAATCAACCACCACCACCAACAACAACAGCAGCCACATCCAGTGCCAATCACCATCAACGGGAGGGATTTGAAAGAGGTTAATTCATTCACTCATCTAAGGAGCATTGTCTCAACTACAGGCAGGTGGGACGGACGAGGATGTCAAATCGACAATGGTGAAGGCGAGAAACACATTCATCAACCTGAAACCAATCTGGAAATCTTCGTCACTCCTTAACATTAACAACAAAATTCGGATTTTCAATACAAACGTCAAGTCAGTCAGTCACTTCTTCTATACGGAACGATCAGAAACTTGTCGGCGGGTCACAAAGAATGAGTATTTCCAACAGCCTGTTGCAGACATTTATCAACAACTAACTGTCTTCGCTGGCTGTATACTGAAGATCAGATGGCCGGAAAGAAAAAGAATGAAGAACAAACTATGGGAACAAACGAAACAAACAAGAACCAATCGCCTAACAAATTTGAAGGAGAAAGTGGAGATGGATTGGACACTCACTCGCTGAGGAGGCCACTCGCTGGGTGACATCGCGCGTCAGGCCAACGCTCGAGTAGAACCGGAAAGGGAAGCGGCGAGTGGTTCGTTGGTGCAAGGGTGACATGGAGGAGATCGTGTGAAGAGGAGTTGAAACAGTATGGACTAACATGGATGCAAGTGAAAAGTACAGCAGAAGACAGAAGCAAGTGGAGGCGTGTAGTTGAAGCCCTATGTTACACTAGGAACCCAAGGGAACAATAGTATAACATAATAATCATTAGGGTTCTTTGGATATGCTTGTATAATTTTTGGATGGGATTTGTTGTAAGTTGTTTGGTATACATCTTCATCTTTGACCAGATCTTCAGCTTTCTTGGCGTATTCTTCTCTGTCCATGACTACTGTAGTTCTTCCTTTGTCAGCTGATATGATATGACGCTATCTTTCCTACCTTTTAGCTTTTTTGACAGGCTTTACTTCTTGAGAGTTGAGTTATGTGTACTGTTTTAACGGTTTCATCATTACTAAGATTGTTTGGCATATCTCTTCTTGTGTTTTTCCCATCTAACTTGAATGATTTCAGTGAAAGATTTACGGGCAGAGAAGAAATCAGTTTTTGGCAAACGCCACACTACTAACAACTGTGATGTAAAAAAATGTAATAAATATTAAAGAAAACTAATAGTGTGGTGAGTGCTACTTATAATCCGATATAAGTAGTATCTTTACAATAGTTTAGCGAAAAGGTTCTCGTCGGTACTTTCACTGTCACTAGTGGATACTCGCATTTATACAGAAGCTATTTTACCTTCACAAGGGTGAATATTAAATGAAAGTGATAAAATGTCTTATGCATCTTTCCTAATATAAATCAATACATATTGAGAAATGATGATAGAGTTACTCAGTGGTTATCAAGATGTATGCACTGACGAAAGAAATCTGATATTATGTAAGAAATTTCAGAGAAATTATTGATTGATTGATTGAAATCAATAGAGTCAATATATGATAGTGGAAGGGACTAAATAATTCTCACTTTTGTGTTTAGAGCTCCGTCTGCTCCTATCCTGTTTGCTAGAGCTTCATGAATTAAAAGATGAAAGTCTATCGTCTTCCTTATGTTGCTTTTCATTTTGTAGATTCCCATGAAGTAGGATTTTATCCTAAATGGAGTGGTGTTCAAGTATTTTAACTACATATGTAGCCACTGACACCTTTTTGAGGCCATGCGAGTTAGTGTTCCCTCGCAACACTATACCAAACAACTAGGTACCTCTCGGGCAAAAATTCGTCACAAATTAAGCCAGTGAAGGATGACAATGGAAAGTCAATCACCAAAGAAGTGGAGCAAAGGAAACACTGGGCTGAACACTTCAAAAGACTACTAAACCGACCGCCACCTACAACGCGCCCAACAATACCAACAACGGAAGCAGAATTACCAGTGAACATCAACCCCCCGAGGAGAACAGAAGTCCTGAAGGCAATCAAGATGCTGAAAGCTGGAAAAGCAGCAGGACCAGATGGAATCCCAGCAAAAGCATTGAAAGTGGACCCAGAGACAACAGGGGACTTGATGACGACACTACTGGAGAAGGTGTGGAAAGAAGGCAAAGTACCCGGGGATTGGAAGAAAGGATACTTCTTCAAACTACCAAAGAAAGGCGACCTAAGTCAATGCAAGAACTGGCGCGGAATTATGCTCCTGTCCATCCCAAGCCAGAATACTAAGCCGCATCATCCTGGAAAGGATCAAACAAGCCCTGGATGAAAAACTTCGACCGGAACAAGCTGGATTCAGGAGAAAGAAGTCATGTATTGATCAAATCGACACACTACGGATCATCATTGAACAAAGTTTGGAATGGCAGTCACCTCTCTATCTCAACTTCATCGAATTTGAAAAGGCCTTCGACAGACAGCGTCGATCGAGAGGTGCTTTAGAAACTACTTCGCTACTACGGGGTGCCACCGACAATTATACATCTCATCCAACAGTTGTATGACAACGCTGCATGCCAAGTAATCCACAACAGGAAGCTCACGGAATCCTTCGAAGTGAAGACAGGAGTAAGTCAGGGTTGCCTACTATCGCCAATGGTTTTCCTGATTGCAGTAGACTGGATAATGTGACAGACAGCGGGCCAGGCAGCGAGGAAACAGGCATAAAATGGACTCACACAAAACACTTAGAGCATCTGGACTTCGCCGATGATATATGTCTGATCTCTCACAAACTGGAAGATATGCAAGCGAAAAGCAACAAGTTGGCAGAAGAAGCATCAAAGATAGGACTTCAGGTGAACATAGAGAAAACAGAGGCGATGAAGATTCCTGACCAACACGATCAACAGCAACAACAACAGACAACAATCAGCCAGCATAAATGGAAGGAACCTGAAAGAAACAACCTCCTTCACCAACCGACCTGGGAAGCATCGTTTCAATACAGGCGGAACTGACGAGGATATCAAAGCAGTGAGGATCGGAAAAGCAAGGCAAGCTTTCACTACTCTCAAGTCTGTGTGGAGGTCAACAGCACTCAGCATCAAAACGAAGATAAGATCCGGATTTTCAACTCCAATGTGAAGTCAGTCAGTGCTACTCACTATACGGATGGATCAGAGACTTGCACTGAGCGTCATAAACAGCATCTCAAACAAACTACAGACCTCCACTAACAGCTAGTTATCTTCGCTCAATACCACTCGAGATCAGATGGTCGGGCAGAAAAGATCAACAACAGAGAGGGATCTCTGGCAATGAGCGGACCAACCAACACAGCAGGAACCGATTGTGAAACACATAGGTAGGCAGGAAGAAATGGAGATGGATTGGCTGGCCATACTCTGAGGAAACAAACCATCAAGTGAGTGACATCACTAGACAAGCCATTGCTCGAGTGGAACCCGACTGAATGGGAAGCGGCGAGTTGGTCGTCAGTGCGAGGGTGGGTGACTTGGAGGAGGTGAAGACTCTAGCAGAGAACCGAATGCAATGGAGACGCACGGCTGAAGCCCTATGTTTCTCTAGGAATTAAAGGAAACAATTATATATACATCCTATATATATATATGTATAGGATGTCCCTGCATCTTTGACGGGTGAAAGTATTCCCACATGCCTCATAACCTGATGGCCTTAGTCTTGAAATCGCATAGGCCTACTGGTGCGCACTGATGAGGAGTCCTAATCCCGAATGAAACATTTGGTTTTCACTGGTCCTCTAGCTGATGCATCGATTAAGGACGAAATACGCCATGTACTTCATGAAATGCTTATTAGACAGACAGAACACACACACCTATGCAGGAATATCACGGAAATACTACTGATCAAGAAACAAAACACTCTTGGTCGGAATTTGGACAAGACAATTATTTCACCTGTCTGGTTCTTCTTTTCACTTTTAACCATCAAAATTGAATGTTACTTATTATTATTATCATTATTATTATGATAAAATTTCTCACCACTTTGCCTACCTTCCTGTCTTCATATCACCAGCGTGTGTTTGCGTGTATTATACTCGCGTGAGAAAATATTAACAACAAAAAAGAATTACGATGCAATACGACTTAATAAGGCATCATAAATAAGTACAGGTGTACGAAGAAAAGGGAAATAAAAAACGGGTAACTGAAATGTCTGGGGTTGTTATATATTTTTTATCGCTGTTCACGTGCACCGTTGGATACCATGAATCGATATAAACAAAAGTATATATTCAGGGATTTTTTTAAAATTAATATAATAATAATAATCAGCGTTATTCTGCTACTGACGCTACCAACCGCATCAGCATTATATTTAATTAGAAAAACATGAAAAAGGCAATATACATATCTAAAATGTATCAAGGCAATAGAATTATTTATCGACCAATCAGAATATAAAAAATGCAGTGACCAATGAGAGCAAAGAGACAGAAAAACAGTGGATCATTCTGATTGGCAGAAATCTTGAATCCAAGTGTTAGGGAATGTATAAATATATGTGTAAACAGATTTGAGAAAGCTTTGAATATATTTGTCCTTTTATACATTATGTATATACTGACATTCTTATAGTATTTATTAATAACCATAAAAAACAAATATTCACATTTTTCTGTTCGTTTTTTTTGTCATCAGGTTCAGTGACACGTAAACCAACTTATATTCATTTAAAAATATCCACTGGTTTCTTAGGTGACACCTCCTCACCCACTCGTCATCACTTGTCATCGACAAATAATGAAGACACTGTCTCAAGAATCAATAAAGAAGAAAAAAATAATTTATTTGAGAAGGATTTAATTCTTCTACCGAATATATTATTATCTAATTCAACAACAAATTCTGAAGACAATGAACAATCTTTCGAGATTCACTTTGATATTGAACGCATTCATTTTTCAAGTTTCAATTCAATCCTATCGGATTCCTCATCAGTATTGATATTTATCCAGATAAAAGATTGTTTTACTGAATATCTACTCACCAAGGGATTTGAAGTTTTTGAAAATGATGGATTATTGTTTAAATCGACAATGTTGCGCGCTGGCCAGAATAATAACAGTATGCTAAAGTCTTATTATTATCATCAATCGAATCGTGTGGAGTCATTGAACACAGATAAAATGCATTTACCATTTATCATCACATGTTTAATTATTGGTCTCACATACATTATCCTGTTGACTATCTATGCTGTAGTGAAGATATGTCATGGTTCCAGTGGAGTAGTTCGTAACGCCTCAACGAATTACACTACAGTTGTTAGTAAAGTACAACGTGGAGGATATTCATCCTTTTCAGTGTATCCAACAAATCTGTTGAATGCCAATATCCAGTCAAGTTTAACATGTTCACAGAAATTTTTTATTATGACCTATTTATGCTTTCGTGTATTCTATACGTTTTTATTCACTATCAGCGTTGGATTATCATTTGTTTTAAGCATTGAAACAGATGCGACAGTGGAGTTCACTTCTGCTGTCTATAACAATCATTTTGTAACTATGAATACACTGGGTAGGCATAGTGGGAGTTTGGATGGCCGAGTGAATTTACCGTCAACAATGAATACAATGCCATTGGCAACGGATATAGGCCAGAGATGGCGTGGAGCTAAGGTATGGGTATTGGAAGCGGCTAGAATGGAAGATTTTGCACAATCGGAACTATTGAGACAAGTAAGTGTGTGTTGACAGTTTTTTTAACCTCTTTTTTTCCCCAGTTGATGGTTTTTGTTTTTGTTTGTGTGCTTAGCTTACTCTGTGTGATTTCATGTTGTTTTGGGAAGTGTTGAAATTTATAAAGACAAGAAAGGTATTTGTTTCAAGCATCACATTTTGTGACGACCTCAGTCCTCCAAGTCAATTAATCTTCCCAGGTAGAACGAAATGACTGAAACACTAGAGAGACAGATATTCAAATTACCAATTCTATGACTACTACTATTACTACTATACGTCCGCTGCACGTTTCTCGAATTCACTTCTGCTTTCGGCTTTGTAACTGGATGTCTCTTATTAAGTAAGCTCTCTATGACAAAAACTGAGTTCTGAGTCACTAACCGGCTGCATTCCTACTTCTCTAACAGAATGCAGTACACCGTATAAAAAGGTAAATCCTCCTCTTCTGTCCTCACTGAAGCTGGTGTCCCCCAAGTTACTGTACTCTCCCCACTTCTCTTTTCTTTCTTTCTACATATGTGACTTACCATCTTCAAATGACATTAATTTTGTCGAATATGCTGATGACCTGAGTCTATTTCACCCTGATGCATAAATCCGACCTAAACAAACTGGTTGGCTCATACGAGGTGTGCAAAATAGATGGCACTGAAATAGAAACCAAGTCGGAAATTAAATACCCAGGCGTCATTGTATCTCCTGATCTCTCCTGGTTGTCTCATATCTTGGCGATTTCTAACAAAATATTCCGTCTTACCTTCTACATCAAGAAGTTAAAACATTCTGGTATAACCCAACCCTTACTCCTACAATTCGTTAATTCTCGCATTCTGCCTATTATTCTCTATTGTTCCCCGGGGCTTAGTTTTTCCCGGGCTACTGAAGAACGACTATAACACATTACTCAGGATGTTAAAGGTTGTCAGCAGGGTAAGCAACGTGCCACTCAAACAGCTTGTTAATATTCTGGTTGACAGGCACATGAACTCATGTGAAAATCTAACTCACACCATCCTCTTCACTCACAACTCTCCCCTTGTATCTCATCAGGCAAAACCAGAAGCCTACATAGAAAACTATATGCTCGCACCAGAAAGTACAAAAACCCAACCATACTCTACTTAGCTCGTGTCCTGTGCGATAAAGAAAGCATTAGGCGTGACACTTATGATTCATTAAATAGTCAGTAGAACAATGGGACCTCGTCTTTCCAACTCATATCATTTATAGGTACAACATTTTCTTTCTTTCTTTCTTTTCCTTTTCTCTCTCTCTCTTTTCTTCTTTCTTTCCGTTATGTGCTGCTTTGTTCCTTTCTTCCGCTTATGCCAGTAAATATAACAGCACCTACTTTTCTAACACCTTCAAACACTGTTCAACTTTCACTTTGCTACCGATATGCTAATATGTTGTTGTCATAATGAACTGAGATTTCCTTGATCTATGTAGAATTCTATTTATTGATAATGTAGTAACTGGATGCAATACTGTAGTAAAAATGCTGAGAATTCCATTATGTATGACAAGTACTCTTTTGGAATAAAGCGAATTATTATTATTATTACTAATTGCTTTCTTTATCAATCTTACTGTTATCAATGCATGTAAAAACTTAAATTGAGGAAAAGTTTCTCCTCTGGAATGGATTACTAATCTATAGTCCTGACTATTTTCTTTTCTTTTGCGAAGGAATTATAAACATCACCTTTTATTAATGGAGCACATTTTTATCTTTGCTGATATTATTCCAATGACTGAACTGACCAGCATTAATGTCTGAAGATTCATATATCCCAAAACACGATAATTACGCAATCTTATTTTCTTAAAGGCTTATTCGAATTCAAGAAGTGAGATTAACCGCTTGGGTTCCAGTCGGAACATAGGGCTTCATCCTATCCTATGCAGTCCTCTTCAGCAAAAGCACATCACGACTGCTCACAAGCTGTCATCCCTTCCTCATGCGATTCCCACAATGTCATGCCGCTTTTCTTATTCAGGTTCCCCTCAAAGTTATAACTAGCGCTCGACTTCACCCACAAGGGTCTACACAGAGTATGTCAGATCCATTTCCACTTTCTTTGAAAATTGAGCAATTATTGAGCAATAGGTTGTTGAAATTAAACTTGCATTTTTTTAATAAGAATGATAACAGTTTTGTTCTGTACAGGATCTTTACACTGTATACATAATTTTCAGTGTGTCTTTTTACATTTTGTGACGCACAGCTTTTTCATCTGTAATGATAAAACGATGACTTAAGGTATTTTCTCTTCAGTCTCCGAGAAATGCACACACACCAGTAGGCGAATTAAATGTGTGCATGGGTACATCTGGCGACCCAGAGACATAAATGAATAATAAAAATAAAGCGAGATAGGGAAATTTTGATGCATTGCGTTGAGTGGGAATTCAGGTATCCCAGGGATTTAAGCAGACCGCTGTAGATTGCATAGAATATTACTAATGTGAAATGATAAAGAAGAATTTTAATAATAATAACGACAATTTGCTTTATTCCAGAAACAGTACTAGTGGTACGGTGTGGAATTTTCAGCACATATCTACAATATTTGCATCTAATTTTTATCCAACGTTTAAAAGGAGTATTTCAAAAAAATAAGACACCAACAGCAAAAAAGGGAAAAACACAAAATAATTTTAAAAAATGCGAAAAAATACCAAGAAGTAGAAAGGAAAATAAACAGCATATAATAATAAATCAGTATTGGGTAGTGGAAGCTATGATGTGATTATGCATGGTGACAGTAAAGCTATAGTCATACAAGAAGTTATGAAATGATATTTAAGAATGTTTTTCGCCAAGATCATCAGTTAATTTAGGTTGAAACAACTCTAAACAATCATAAAATAACATTTCAGGGTTGTTGTTTTGCTTTTTATTCTCAGGTCTAATGCGGTGTTTGTAGTGGTAGTGTGAGTAATCCTGCATAATACAAAATTCTAAGATGGTGGTAATGGCTTTCACAACCAATCATTGTCAATTAATATTGCCGAACAAAAAACAACAACAACCACAAAAACAAATAATTACATGATGGTTTATGACAGGACAATTTTGTAATACTCATAGTGCTAATATAGTCGAAACCAGCAGATACATAAAAGAAGGAATAAAGTAAAGTACAATAAGAAAGCCAATGTTAATAATTTAGGTAGCTAAGTGTGTTTAAGAAGGAGTTCATTAAAGAATACAAAATAAGAGAGAAATTAAAGAGCCTAAAATTATGTTATTAACAACAAAGCAAGTCATAGGTTTCGCGCTTAACATTGTCTCTGTCGCTTAGAACACGGGCCAAATATGATATCATTGAGTTCCTTTACTTGGTTGTACGGGCATAAATTATTTTGTACTGATTTCTGGTTCTACTTGATGAGATACAAGGCGAGAGTTGGGAATAGAGGGGGTGTTGGGGGTCGGAGAGTATGGTTTTGGACCATTTTTCGCATGAATTCAGATGTCTTTCTACTAATGCAGTGACGAGTTGACTGAGGTTTACACCACTAGTCCTACTAACTACCTTCAACATCCTTCTCAGGATTGTGTAGTCCTTTTTCAGTAGCCCAGGAAAGACTTACGGGGAGCAGTAAAGTAGAATAGGTAAGATACGAGGGTTGACAAATTGTGAAAGTAGAGGTAGGGTGATTCCAGACTGTCTAAGTTTCTTAATGTAGTAGGTAAGACAGAACACTTTCTTAGAAATCGTCAGGATATGAGATGTCCAAGTAAGGTCGGACGAGAGCACTGTCAAATATCTTTTAATGTTCTCTGCCAACCATGATTTATTTCCGGGAAAGACCTCTCCCACCTTGCCTTCTTATCAGCAGTATATCAAGGAAAGATGATATTGTTTTCTCTGTTCCATATGTGAATGCAGTTTGTAAGTGATCAGTATTGAAAGTACATAGAATGATAATAATAATAGTCTACTTTATTCCAAAAACAGTACTTATAATACAGAATGGAATTTTCAGTATTTGTCGCAATATAGCATCTGATTTACTCAAAATATAAGTAAAATTAAAAATTAAAACTAAATTAACCGTTGGAATTTGTCCACATTTACGGCATAAAGTCAAACATATTCGAAGCATGAATTGAGATTATTAAATATACTACTACTAATGATAATAATAACAATGAGTTTGTTTCTAACGGAATTGTCGATTCAGTTTGGAAACGTTAGCATATTATAGATTATTGGATCTTATGTTCTGCTGATACAGTATAGTGAAGGGAAATACAAAATTAAGAGTTATAATACAGCTTAAATTATGTTCACACTTATAAAAAAACGAAAAAAATTGAGAGGATTATAAATATCAGAAATACAATAACAATAAAGTTTGATGCTTTAACGGTGAAGGAAATGGTTTATTTAGTGGTGCAAAGAAGGTTACTTAGTTCATGTCTGACACTATTTTCATCACATAAAGTACTTGCTAAATATGGTATAGTGGAATTTCTATACTTGGACGTACGTGCATAAATTCTTCTGAAAAGACTCCTTGTTTCACCCCAGGAGACACAACGTTGGAGCTCAGAGTCTGATAGAATTCCTTTAGCGAATTTGTTGCATGACATCAAATGCCTATCAGTGACAATGTCAACGATATGGCTTAATGGGATACCACGATCCCTACTGACAGTCTTCAGAGTTCTACGAAGTATGACATAGTCCTTTTTAAGCAATCCAGGAAAGAATAAACAAGGGTGAACAGTAAAGAAGAATAGGTAAAATACACGAGTTGATAAGCTGTAAGATGAGTGGTTGAGTTATGCCTGAGTGCCTTAACTTCTCAATGTAAAAGTCAGACGGAATATTCTTTTAGAAATCGCTAAGACATGAGAGGACCAGGATAGGTCAGAAGAAAAAATTAAACCAAGATACTTAACTTCAGACTTGATTTCTATATCAGTATCATCGATTTTGCAAGGGTCATAGTAACCAACAGCTTCGTCATTTAACCTTCTT